TGTTTTAGCATGTTAATGACATTTTGACAGGCGAGCAACAATGTTTACTGCCACGCCCTAAACGGACACACGCCCACTAAATCAGTTGACAGTCAGAAGTTAATTATTCGACAAGCCGACCAGCCGCCCACGCGGCACAGGCCATCAAATTTCACGCACAACGGGGCGTATGAGTAATAATTTTATTAAAAATCTCTTATGCAATGGACCTCGGCCGGGTTCAATAGAATCTCGTTGAGGGAAGGGGAAGTTTATTGAACCGTCACGTGACCGCATAAAACAGAAGGGTTCATTTATTTACAGCTATTTGTTTTATTTTTACCATAAAGAACAACAACAACAAGTGCCGGCAATTGGCATTAACCTTGAGAACTATTTGCGCAAGTGTCGGCCCGAATATATCAATAAGTCGATGCGAACAATCACCCGTTAAATGAACCAACTTGTTTGCTTAACTGATTGTGAAAAGCTTGCACCAAAAATAGAAAATTAACGGAAAATGCAAAAACTCTTGCATATTTTTTGGCAGCGCTTGCAAATGGAAATCGTAACGTGAAACATGTTTTTCCATATTTTGTATTTTCGTGCAGCTCTTGAAATTGATATACAAAAACGATTCACATTTTCACATGCATTATGCATATTTGTTACCGAGCTTAACAAGGATTTTCGCCCTTCCTCTTCAAGGTCCTTTGTCATATGCCCTGCGGTCGGAATTGTAATATTTAGTCATGAATTTTCGTTAATTTGTCGACATATGATATCTTCTAATAATGCATGAATTTGCGGAAAAAATGTTGTTTTTAATGCGAAGTACACGCATAAAATTTCCAAAAACTTTAAGCATATTTCCTATATAAATATTCGTAAGTAAATTGATTCCTTCCAGCTTATTTATTGAATAAATTAGAAATTCTGCTTAATTGAAAGCTTGGCATTAATTGTAAAATAATGATAAAATACCTATAAAAATGATTTAAAGTTCTTCTTACATTATGCATATTTTTTACCAAGCTTAACAAGCATTTTTCCCCTTCCCTTTTCAAGGGCTTTTTTCATAGCTCTTGGGTTGGTTTGTCGACATACGATATTTTCTAATGTTGCATTAAATCTCGGAAAAAATGTTGTTTTTAGTGCTATTTTGATAGGATAAAATTCTCAACACTTTAAGCAGATTTCCTCTATAAATATACTTAAATAAATTGTTTTATCTAAGCATAGTTCTTAAATAAATTATAAATATTACTTGAATGTTTGTAAATTAAATTTAAAATAACTGTAAAATACCTATAAAAAGTATTCAAAGTTCCCTTGGCCACATTTGGTGCTTAGCGAAAAAACTTTAAAAAAGTACTTTTTACTTAAAGTAAGAGCCAAGTTTTCACAATGTCATTTAAGATTGTTGTTGGCATCTCGTTCGGAGCTTATTAAAAGTTGGACTTGATTCAAGTAACAAATTCCTATCCTTTACTCCTTCTGCATAAAACAGGAAGTGGTCTGGCATATTAAATATTCTATCCGAATATATTTTATTAAGTACTGTGTACTATAATTTATCTGCTTTGTATAGCACACAAATAGGTCATATGGAGGCAAGTGCTGTACAACAAACCCGCAAAGCGCATTTTACTGTTTTGGCTCACGAAACAAACAAAATATTATTATGGCAAAACATAAAAATGCGACAGTAAAACAAAAAGAAGACAAGCACAGCTCGAACTATGCACAACTGCGGGAGATATACCCCAACTATACAAAATATTTATACATATATATATATATGGGATGCCAGCAGGGGTCTTGTTGTCGTTTTTTCTTTTCTTGAGGTCATTCGTGAAGACAAAAAAGCAAAATGAGAGTCCAAAACTTAACCAACTCCAAAGTTGAACTTGACAAGTTCGGAGAATGTCGAGCGGAGTTATTATTAAAGAAGTTTACAGCTTGAGAAATCAACTAAAGTGACTGAAGTAGAACAAATGACATAATGCGACTACAGTATACCCTGTACTTATAAGGAGAAGGAAAGGCTATATGCCAGAAAGGATGCTTTAATCAGGAGGTCTCGATCAGATGGTCTCCCCAATATTGGGGAGATTGGGAAAAATAGTCAAGGAGTAAAAATAAAAGAACCTAATGAAGAATCAAATAAAGTGCTTTAAGAACAAAAGACAGAATGCGATTACAATATACCCTGCACTTATCAAGAAAAGGAGAGGCTGTAACAGAATGCTTTAATCGGAATGTCTAGATCTGATGAGATTCCAATATTGGGGAGAATGGGGAAGGGTTTAAATGTTTTTACTAGTCTACCTACCAAGTTCGATATAACTAGCTTCTATATATGTTGACCTATGCCTTAAAAAACACCCTTAAGTCGATATTTATCAATATTCGAAAATGATAGAAGCTATCCAAAAAGAATAAGCTGCAGACGGACATGGTCTCCTTTTTGATTAAAAATACATATATTATAGTCAATTTTAATGGCAAATTTTTAATATATTATACTTATAACAACTGCCACTCATTGATAGACCCGGCACCTTTGTTATCTCCAGTTTAACCTGTTCAAACATAGCTTTTATGCCTCCCTTGTTGCCTGTACTTTGCCTTATTAATGGGTATGCGCGGCGTGCAAATGTATAATTAAGTATTTTCGGCTTATTAAATGGTTAAACGGGACAAAAAAATTCTGACAAATGAATGCAAAGAAAAAAACAAAAACGGAATATACAACCGGCTGCCGGCAGACTGTGGCAGCCGGTGGCCGCCTTTTCGTGGTCCGTGCCCAGCTTTGGTCCCCGCCTGAATTGAAATCATATCAATGATAAGGCAAGTGTGTGTGGTTGTGCCTTGAATTGATATGTAGTTGCCACCGCATGGCGCTGGGTTTCAAATTACTTGAGTAGCGCTATAAATAGAGAGATGGGCCCCGGCCCGGCGCCAATGCAATTTATATTCATTATTTTGGTAGCCGAGCGGCTGCACCATGACAGAAGCTGAAGCTGAAGTTGTAGCTGCAGGGCCCCAAGTCGCTAAGCAACATATTCAGTGTGGCTGGACTTCCCACTCGAGCGGTTGCAGCCACTTGGATCTAGGATGCTTAGCAACAGGCTCAACAAAATGCACTCGAGTCGAGAATGGCCAACACTTGAGATAATCAGGGGCAGGTCCTTAATGCCATTGTGTGTGGGTAGTATTTGACGTATTTGTCGGCAATGTGGGGTTGAGGCCAGTTGGCAGAGTTGCGCGGTGCAATCAAATTTGCGGTTAGGTTAAATTTGAGGTTAAGCCGAATTTGAGTAAATCTAAACTTGAGGTTAACCGGAGTTCGAGGTTACGTAATTTGAACTTAAATTAATTTAAGCTCAGACCAAAGTGATATTAAAAAGCAATATTTTTGCACTGAAGTTGCTCTAAATAAATTTGAGGTTAAGCCGAATTTGAGTAAATCTAAATTTGAGGTTAAACCGAGTTTGAGGTTACGTTTTTTAGGTTTTAATTAATTTTAGAAATTTGATTAGGGTTAAGCTCAGGCTGAATTTGTATTAAAAAAGGAAGCTGGTGTACACAAATTTGAGATTAGTTTAAATTTGAGGTTAAACTGAATTTGAGTACATCTAAGCTTGAGGTTAATCCGAGTTTGAGGTTATGTCATTTTAGGTTAGGTTTATTTTAAACTGAGGCTGTTTTTGCGTTTAAAATCAAGCAATTTGCACTGAAGTCGCTGTAAGCAAATTTGGGGTTAATTTAACTTCGATTACGCCTTAACTTGCGGTTAAGCTTAACTTGAGGTTAAATTAAATTAAGTTGAAGTATGTCTACCTTTGAAGTATGTAAAGTTTTAGCGTAATGGATTCGAGGCTAAGCCGCATTTCATATTTAGTTAAATTAAATTAATAATAAATATAAAATAAGGCAGAAGTTTGCGACGCTTTTGAGCTGAGTTTAAAGTTAGTTAATTTGGTACTTTGGATTTGAATAATTGTGAGGACACACACTAATCCTCAATTTCCCCAACTGTTCACTTTTCCACAGGCTGAATCACCATTACTCCCCCTGAAAGAAAACGAGCCAACCTCCACGGCCACACCAACCAGAGCCCAAACAAACGCACCTACACAGGCAACAAATCCGCACATATCAGCAACCGCTCCACGTGGCCAGTATACCGCACACACACCCAGTGCCACGCCCAGCGAGTACCGACGTCACAGCTCGCTGACCAACTCTCTGGCCTCGCCCACGCCGTCGCCCACACCAACGCTTAACGTGCAGGAGGGGGAGCCCAACAACAACAACAACAACAACGAGGAGGAGTTCTATACGCCGCTGGACAGTTTGACGCCCGCCCATAAGCACACGCACGACTACAAGCTCTATCCGCACGACACTTTCGCACGTCTCGAGGGGAAGCCACCGACGCCCAATATCAAAATGCAAAGCAAAGTGGATGCAGTGGGTCGGATTACCGGCCAGTGGGGTAAATGGCAGCTGCGCACCGTACTTTTAATATTTCTGTGCAAAATACCCTCCTCCTGGTTCATGGCATGCATCATTTTTACGGCACCCGCGCCCCGGCATGGCGAATTCTTTTGCAAGCCGCCGGCAGAGATTGGCACCCAAAATCAGACGCAATGGATCAAGGTGTCGCATCCGCAAAAGGAGGAGAAGGAGGATCAGGAGTTCAGCATCGATTTCTGCAATGTGTACGAGGATGCGCAGGAGCATGCGCATCACTACTACAAATACGAGGACAGTGCACAGGAGCCGCGCGTCTGGGAGAAGCCGCTCAATCGCAACTCGAATGTGATACCCTGCACGGAGTTCCAGCATGAGAGCGACTACCATTCGGTGGTTACGCAATACGATCTGGTCTGCTCGCGTGATATACTTGTCTCGGTGACGCAGTTCTTCCATCTGTTTGGCGTTCTTACCGGCGGCATTTTGGCCAATCACTTATTAAAATAGTAAGTCCAATTAGACCAATAACAACTTACCAAAATCCAACTACAATTGTTCACCTCCTATCTATCGTTCTCTCTCTCTCTCTCCCTCTCTCTCTGCGTCTCTCCACCTCAGCTTTAGTCCACGCAGCGTTATGCTCTTTGGCATGATCACGCAAATCTTCTGTGGCAATCTTACTGGCCATGTGGCTTCCTATGAACTTCATGTATTCTTCAGATGCCTCTCCGCTGTCTGCTGCGCTCAGATGTACACCGCCGGCGGCATGATAAGTAAGTTTTTATTACACACACCTTTACACAGTATACAATAAATTTGATCATCTTTAATATTCTAGTGGCCGACATTACGGGCGCCAAATATCGTACGTGCGTCTCGACGCTCTTCGAGCAATTCTGGTCGATAGGCGTTATGATGTTGCCAGGCGTTGCCAGTTTTTGGTCCAGCTGGTCTCACCTCTATATGGCCATCTCCTGGCCCACAGTCATACTCATCTACCTGTGGCAGTAAGTATCAAAGTCTTATTGGTTAGTGAGAACCACCAACACATACGCGATCTAAAGTAGGCGCAGTCCGTTTATAAAAACTGTTTTCTTTTATTACACAAAACATATAACGATTAAAACAAATTTAATTGCACTTGCCAAACTCCTCAAACTGCATTTGTTGCCTGGGTGGCAACGCTGCGCGAGTGTGGTGAATAAAATGCTAAAAACTAGTTAAAGAAATAGGAAAACACAAAGAAAATTAATTTTTAAAATTTACTTACAGATGGATACCCGACTCGCCGCGCTGGATGATTGAGCGCGGCCGTGTGCAGGAAGCCAAAAAGATATTGCTCCAGTGTGCCGAAATGAACGGAACACGCCTCAGTCTGCCGCATGATATTGACCAGCAGCTGGAGCTACAGGCACAAACGGCCATGGATGCACCTCCACCGGCCGGCTGGTGGTCTATCTGGAAGGGTGAGAAAGCGGTACGGCACATGATCTGTGTCCATCTGGCCTGGTCGCTGTACATTAGCGTCTACTACGGCTGCCTGCTGAACATACGTTCCTTCAGTCGGGAGCATCTGTACATCAACACCTTTGTGGCCGGCTTCAGTGAGATGATTGGCACATTTATTGGACTCTATTTGATAATGAACACCACACGCAAATGGCTCTGGGCGGGCATATTTAATATTGTGGCCGGCTGTTTTGCCTGGTGCTGCTGGTTGGTGCCCAAGCCTGGCGTGGTATCGTTGGATGCAAACGTAGCGATGCTCATGTGCACGGCTATGGTATCAAAAATGGCCATTTCCACTTCGCTCTCCATACTTACCACAAGCACCGTGGAATTGGTTAGCCAGGAGAAACGTAAGATTACCTCCTTTTCAACGATTTGCTGGGCTCGGTTCTGGCTGCTGGGTGCACCGTTCATTGGCTCCACCGTTGTCATTGGCCAGCTGATACCGCAGACATCCTACACTGCGCTGGCTGTCATTGGCGGCATCTGCATGTCCCTGATCAGCAGTCCACGCACACATCCCATCTCCAGGCCCTCCTCACCGGTTTCGCATGGCGCTCAGAATATGGCAACACAATTTACGGTCATCGATGGACTGGACAACAAAGGCTATGTGCCCAGTTCCAACTCCAATACCATCTACGCTACGAATACTTTTAGGAAATTTACCACTCCTCAATCGAATCTACCTCCTCAACTAATGCCCGGCATTTGGACGACCAAAATTCACGAGGACGGGTCACCAATGTAATATAACACACAACTGAACGTGCAGAAGGAGAGGCGAGCGATCAAAAAGCTGTATAAATAATTGATTCGGATTTTATATACAAACGGACAGTCCAACAATTTGATATACTCTATAAACCAGTCTTTTGTGCTGTATACACATGATTTACTATCAAGATTTGTCTAGAATCGAACTTTTATAATGCACATACCCAAACTTTTTGCTATTTGTGCGCTATTCGCCCGAGCACAATTTACAAAAAATAACTCAATTTGAATGCTCAAAGTAGAAAGGAAAAAAATGATAACCAATAATTATCTTAAATGTCAAGATACATTTTTAATTAGACAAACTTTTAAGCTTAAAGCTAAATACAATATTTTAATTAAAAGAAAAGACGCTCTTAGCTAAAAACATACAGAATGAATAGCTCTAAGGTTTAGCATATAATTTGCAAATAATTTTGATCAATCAAATAACGTAACGTATGCTGTTAGCCACCGAAAAGACGACCAGAGATATAGGGTCTAATATAGCTTCAGCATAGCCATATAATAGACACGTAAGTTAGTAAGTCAAATGTGGAACATGCCGAGAGCAGCCCAGTATTAAACTTGTCCTCGATGAAACTGTATAATATGTCTCAAATTCCACAATGTAGATACGTATGTATGTAGTGTATAGCATTGTTTCCTATATATAAACTTATATCAACCAACTGATGATAATATGTACTTAAAAAGTCCTCTTGAGTACCCTAAAGCTGTTCCACATTTAAGTGATTGTGTTGAAAACACCTGGAGAGAATTACATGAAAAGACATATTTGATAGTTACACTTAATTCTTTATTAATTAATTAAATCAATAATAATTTTAAAGCTACGTACACATTTAATTCAAAATACTTCATTACCATTATGTATTATCAAATGCAGCATAAAAAAAATTAGTTTTTATCTACTTAATCACCTAGTCGCGTTTCAATTATTTAAGTAACTTATGTACCTAATTACTCAAAACAAAAATAACGTACATATATATTTTTAACAGAGTCATATTTGAATGTTATATAATTATGGTTACTATATGAAAGTATGTTATGCATGGCAAAAAGAGCAATATTTTTTTAATAAAGCATACCAAAACATTCTAAATAATTTTTTTTAGGGCTAATTTGAAAATTAGCGCCTATAAAGATTTTGCTATGCAACAGCTGCTTAACCGTTTACAATTACGCAGCATATCAGAGGCACAACTGTTGAGCCTGGTAAAAAATATATCGATAGCTTACCAAAAGCATACCTGTGTGGTTTCGCCATCGAAATGTTAAATAACAGTTGAGCTCTGATGGCACTGTTCTGCCCCTGTTATTAATTGTTGGATAGCCTGATCAGCAGTCACTTAGTGGCTGTTAGGTTTAAACTCAATCTTCGTTCAGCGAATTTCTGGGTAAAAAGTTGTTGATATATTAAATTTGACATGTGCTGTTATTATTCATGTCATTTTTTCTAGTATTACATAGGCAAACTCATTTATGCGAAATTTTATAGGCTTCTCTAGGCTCGCTGTTAATAACAGCGTAGCAAAATGTTAATGTAACAGAGCTGTGCTTCTTCTGCCCTGCGTCGACTTTAAATTGTAGCGGCATTTTTTTTACGCGTTGCGCTTAAAATAATTGTTATTGTTAAAATTTGCATTAATAAGTATTGTTTTCTTCGGATAATTACACAAATCCCATGTCATGGATCTAAATGCAGCAGATGCCCCGGATTCCCAACTGAATGTGAGTCTCGGCAGCCGCAGCGTGTTAAAGGAGCTGAATACAAACGATGGCGGCGCAAAGGTAGGCCAAATAATTAATCAATCAGCGTTGCCGGAGCGTGTTACAGGCCCACCGGCGAGTGGGCGTGCCGTTAAAAACAAAATAAGACACAATTAGCATTCACTTTCTAATACAAAACATGAGAATGTATGTATATATATATATATATATATGTATGTGATTGCATGTATGAGTGTGTGTGTATGTGCACTGATCGCGCGCTGTGCAGTTTTCTGTCTTTATTGGCAACTGCGTCTCTGGCTTCTGGTGATCGATGGGCTTCTCGCTGAACGCTCGCTGCAAACCAAAAATTTTGTCGCTGCTTTTCGCTGTTGTTGTTTTCGTTACTCCTGATGCCGTACATTACATTTTGCTTGTTTTGTACCTAACCTAACAGCCGCCGCCCAGTCGATCACAATATTTGACTTATAATACAGCCCCCTCTTTATGAAGAAGTATTCCACAAGAAATTGCCCTAATTTGTGAGCTGGCATCTTTGAACATTTTATAACTTTCTAATAAAAAGCTCAAAAGTTATTTAATCAGGCACTTGCGGCGCGTGTTCACAGGGTCTCCATCAGTCTGGCAGCCCCTGTTACTTTTTATAATGGCTTGCTGCTGCCGCTGGTGTTGCCTGTTGTTGCTGACGTTCAGTGCGTTCTACAAGTCGTGGCGATCGGACGTTAACTAACGCGCAGTATATATATATATATATATATACATATATCTATATACCCAGCCAAATGGGCAACAAGCCGGGCAAGCACTTGAAGTCCAGGGAGCCCGCATCGTTGGACCATTGGCCACCAAATGCGGTAGGCGAAGTGCGCAAATTCCGAATATATATTCAATAGGCATATATGTATTTAATATACGAATTAATTGTGCTTGTTTCAACTGTAAATTGCCATCTGCACTTGACATGTTCAATTGTTTATGCCGGACAGCGTCCAGATGTGCCAAAAAGTATATATACATATACAAAAGAATATGTTTCCTGGCTACGTTAGAGTCTGCAGACATGATCTGTTCCTGGAAACTTATCTCGTTCCAGCTCCTGTCGGATTTTTTTCATGACAACTCTTTCCAGCTCTTGCCACATTTGTGCGGCATCTTCGTCATTTTTTGGGCTACTTTCCGGCATGGCAGAGTTCATTGACAAGTCGTCGACGTTGTCGCCTCCCCCACATGAATCGCTGCCGTCCGCATTTGTTTTCCGTCTATTTATAGGCTAGGTTCAAATTGCCTGCACTCTACCCTCCTTAACATCATCGTCTTGTTGTTGTCTTTGGCGTCCCCTTGGCTTGTTTGTTTTGATACCCTTTACTTGCAACAGATACCAAACATGTCTATTAAAAGGAATATGTTACTCTCTTATACATTTACCCAACAGCCTCAATATTAGAAGGTAGAGCCTTGAGATTAGGTTTATACACAGAATTTAATACTATCGTTATAGCCTGAAAAGGTCATAATTATTTTAGTAATTTATCGATCAATTTCTGAATTTTTTCCTTTCGCTACAGGGTGTCTCCCAGTCGTTCACTCTCAAAACGAGCGCT